AACATCAGTTACACACGAACCACTCAAAAATCCACATCAGACACGGTAAAATTCAACTGTAACGGTCCACAAACGCGCAAGGAAGCATGAATATGCATTGAGAAACTTTAGAAAAGCCATTTGCAATGTATTTATAGTTCCCGGGCAGCAACTTTTACATATACCGGTATCAAATGGAAATGAGTTTAAAAACTCATAAACGGATGTAAAAACGTCTACCGGTTCATGTATCGTCGCTTGGAAACTACAAGCACTTTGCAAACAAATTAAGTCTGCATAATTCAAGCCAAAACAATATAATTCAAGTGATAATGCAACTTATCAGATTTGAAGTTCTAATGTCGAAAAATGAATTCATCAACAATTTTAATTGAAAAGTTGCATTAACTCATGAATTACAACTTAATCCTCATCAAAATTTCTTAATTGATATCAAGTCTCAAATTCGGTGTTCAAAAATCAACATCAATTTTCCGAATAAAATTCAACACCTATATCGATTATGTAATTATTTATCCAATTTCGGATTTCAACATTATATCCAAAATCAAGAATCAAGTCATGTTAACAAATCTTCACAATTCAATTAAACACAAGTTTATATTATGTCAACATGTATAATTCAAGAATTCAATTCACATTACACAAATCATGTTCAATTCATGTAACAATTCTCAACAACAATCATAATTAAAGAATTTCAACCAATGCTTCAATTAAAATTTCCAAATAAATTCACAATTCAATCGAAGTATAATCAAGAGCAATTGAATTACCGAATTGAAGTGAAGAGGAGGTGACCAACAGCTTCAGAACGCGACAGAGGAGGGAGGATTAGTTGGGAGTTCGCGACGAAAGGAGGGAGAATCGGCCAGATTCCGATGACAGTAGGGAGGAGATCGCGGTGGCTCGGTCACCGGTGGCGGATTCTAGGCGGAGGTCCGGTTGTGGATCAGTGGAGAAAGAGGGAAGAGATTTGTGATTTTTGAATTTTTTGTTCTTGATGAATTGTTGAAGATTAATGAATATTGTTGATGTTCTTGAGCAAAATTGAGAAAAGAATGTGTTTGATCTTTTAGAGAATAGAGAGAGATTTGTGAGGAGTTTTTGAGAGTGAGTCGAGTTATGAGAGAAAATCTGATTTTTTTGAATATATACTCCATCCAATTGGGCCTTGGATTTGCATTTGAATTGGGCATTATTTTGACAATGTCAACAAATTTAATGCGCAATACGAGTACAAAATGCCACATCATCATCACTGCCAAATCTCGACTCAAACCCTGAATAAAAAATGAAGACTATGAAATTTGTGACACAATTCCGAAAGAACAGACTCAATCGGATAAACGACGAGAAAGTTCCGAATTTTTGAAGGTGCACAGACGCGTGGCTAATTTAACTAATGTAAATTTTTCTCAGTTAATTTCACTATTCAGTTTAGAAAAAATGTCGCAAACAAAAATCCTCCGATCAAGATCTGAACTCGGGGTCTGAAACAAACTTGTAGCTGACATCATTTGTGAAATTATGCCGAAAGAATCATCTCGATACGATAAAAATTGAAGATGTTACGATTTTTACAATATCAGAAAATGGTGAATTAAAATTTTGGTTCAACACAATTAAATCACTGGTAATTCGCATTTCCGAGGACTTTCCTCAATGAATTGATCCTCGACCCGAACATACGAAATGAAGATGGCATCAAGACAAATTTTTCGCCCAAAGAACGGATCTAAAACGTTGAACTACGTGAAAGTTATGAATTTTTGAACGTCCGAAAAATAACGTTTCAACACAATATTTTCACTGTTTTTTTCACTTAGCTTCAAAGTACTCGCGCATTCAGAGATCTTCCTCAAAGAATTGGCTTCCGAGCTGGACATGAAAATTGGAGGAAATAACAAGACGATTCAAATACTCCAAGAGGAACTCAAAGGTGATTCTTCAGTCATAAGTTACGAATTTGTGAGTGTCCGAAAACCAGAGAAACGGTAAATCCACTGTATAATACATTTCAGATATTTTGCGCTTTAGAAAATCTTTCTCACAAAATTAGCCTTCGATATGAACAAATGGAATGAAGAAGACCTCAAGACGGGTCTAATGCCCGAAGAATCATTCCCAAACTATTTTCTGACCTCAAGTTAAGAATTTCTGGGCTAGAAACGCACAATACTGAATTTCCATCTACACTGTCTCAAATTAAGTGAAACGCTTGACTTTTTGAATCCTGAAAGCCCTGAATTTTTGCTTTGCTACTGCCCGACAGAACACTTGTTTTTGTAACTTGCCAAGGATGAATGCTCGGATCCCGCAACTAGAGGTGGCAAAACGGACTCGGACTGTTAGACATGCCCGTTTTACCCGCACTTTAGTGCGGGGCGGGCCAAGAATTAGGCCCTCACCCTCTAATGTGACTGTCCCGCCCCGTTTTCTTCGCGGACTTTTGCAAGCATGATTATTAGCATAAAATTTTATATTTTTAGACCTAAAAGGTATAGTTCCCGCGGGCTTTCTCTGCTCCGCACTCACTTTTTTGCGGGACGAGCCTAGATTTAAGACCCTCATCCTCAACTATGCCCGCCCTGCCCCGCCCTTTTTTTTTGCGGACTTTTGTGAGGCGAGTCTAAACGGGACGGGCATGCCCGTTTGCCACCTCTACCCGCAACCATGGAATCAATGATATGTTATGCGTGATCTTGATGCATTGTGATGTTATGAGATGACAGAGGATCTTAGGGACAAAAAATTGAAATATAACACATCCCTAGACTAAACCTATTGAATTGCTAAAAATATCCAAATGAAGATTCTTGACCAACTCCCTCGCTTTCCTCTTCTTACTACTACCCCAAAACCTCTAACATTGAAAGAGCCAATTATCATGCAAAGTTGGATGGTGATAAGTTGGTTCTAACCAAAGAAACTTCTAACTTTTTATATAATTTATTTAAAAGCTTGTAAGCTACTACTCATTATTAGACTATTCGGATCTTGGGCGTGTGAGAAGATCTTTATCTATTTTAAAACACATGAAACTGATGCTCAAGTTAGAAAGCGATTTGGAGCGAGGATATATGCTGTTCAAGAAAGAGTGGATGACTTCTGAATTTATCAAGGAAAACTTTTGTTCTCATTCTAGGAAGACTAAAACAAAAATATTCAATCCTTACTCCTACTTTCTGTCAAAGAACATGAGAAGCCTCGGTTTCATCTTATGAGGTGAAAATATCAAGTCACACAGCTGGCAAAAAGAAAACAATTATAATCTACATTATATATAGTGCTTAAATACTATTCCACTTTCCTCATACTATCTCATTCCTTTCCAACTTTTAACCAGAGGCTATGCTGAAGTGTGCTGTTCATTTCTTAGGCCTAGTGAAGAACACTGAAGAAAATCCAAAAACAATCAGAGGAACCAAAGCATCCCCTAAGGATTCTGTTGTGAGGACAATTCTCAAGGGTGGAAAACAAGAAGTGTATAAACATGCATTTCCTGCATCCAAGCTCATGGCAAAATATCCTGGCATGTGTGTTGCCCTACCACAAGTTTTCAAATATCCTCACCAGTCACTGTTGCTACCAGAAGATCATTTGTTGCTTGGTCACAAGTATATTGTAATCTCATATAAAGATGTGAAGAAGCTGAAGCTTAAACATCCAGAATGCAAAATATATGAGAATGGTGAAGGGAAAGTGAATGCAAAGATGGATCTTTCTCAAGGTGGAGAAGATGTAAAGGAATCTTATTGCTATGCAAATGGGGTTTGTTATGATCCAAAGGGTAATGAGTCAACAAGATACTTAAGTACTAAAGAAATAAAAGGGAAGAAACCTTTTGTGCAAGCCTTCCAAAAGAAAAATTAGATGATAATGTCATGAAATTAATTTTAGACAATTTACATATTTAATATTTAAGTTAGAAGAAGAATTTATCTTATAGATGATCTTTTATTGTTTAATTGAATTTTTAGCCTTTAGGCCTTTTATTTTCATATTCACAACAATACTATATATGTACTTTCATTTAAAGATTTAGAATTATTAATGAATGCAAATTGTCATTTATTTTCTCTTAGATAGTAGCTTTATAATGTTTTCTCTATTTTATTATAGAACCCTTAATTTCTAAGTTTTGATAGGAAATCATCCTATCAATCTCATTCTTGTTAAATGGGTTCATGGTGGAGTTTTGAAACTTTTACGGAATAGAAGATCCTATCAATCTTAGAGGTGACAGTGTCTCAGAAAGTAAAACAAATACATATAGGATTTATGGGGTGGTGGGAACAATAAGATTGGTTGTAGGACCTTATGCCATTGTAATAACTTCTTATAGGGAAGTTGGAAGTTTCCTTGGTTTTCCCGTGCATCGCTTGATGTCTATGAGAGTTCTTGCATGTAAAAAGGCTATGAAGTTTTCAACTTCTCAAGAAAAAAAGGAGGAAGAATACTTCTTGACATTGTTGAAAATAGTAGTCAATGCCCGGCTTATACTATTCTTATGAAACAGATACTACACTAAACTTGCACAGAAGAAGCAAGTTAGTTTAAGGGTGGATGAGTAAGTCACAATGGAATCAGGCTGACCCATGATATGTATGGAACAAGCATCTCATGGAGGAATTCATTGAGTTTAAGCTTGACAGATTTATTTTGACCATTATGAATGAAATGTTACACAATTGACCCTAAAGAAACAGCTAACCAAAAATAAGTAATTGTTAACTGTGTTGGTAATACTTAGATTGAAAATTCCACCTATTCACTACAAGTCTTCAACACTAGGTTGAGAGTGTATGCTGTAACAGTTCAATATTGACCTCTTTCAAGTTAGATGATAGCTCAAATACAAAACAAAAATTTGCTTAAACACAGCAAGTGTCTTTAAGGCGATTTGCAGGGGAAAGTCCACATAAGCTTAAGTCAGATTCCCTCAATCACTCAAAAAGATCATTCATACATATCAATGGAAAAGAAAATCCACGAGGCTAAGAGGCTTTCTTGGGAGGCGTCATGTTAAAAAGAAGGAAAACAACTGCTTTGATGACACTAATCTTGAACAGATATAAAGTGAGTATATATACCAACAGACCTGTAAGGCGCAAAGCCGAGTTATTACACAAATTATCCAAGTATAGCAGTAATCCGTACATGAACAAAATATTTAGAATTTGAAAAAAGAAATCTTTACCAGTTTGAAGAGCAAGATAATCAACGTCAAAATTGCTTGTTTCGCGATTACTATAATACTGGATAACCTACAGAAGAGTTTTCATACAATCATATGGGAATTTCTAAGCAGAAAAACAATTATCAAAACCATAAAACTAATGAAACAAAAAGTCAAAAACATCGAGCAATAAAATTCAAATCCAAAAGAATGGCTATTAAAACCAGGGTTTTTTATAAGCATTTAGTAGTTATCACGACCGCTAATAGCTGTGATTTGGGCCACTAGTCGACACTACAGCCACCGCAAAAAACGGCACCATAATAGACTTCCAGTGGCGGCCATTGGCTACTTGTTGTGCCACTATAGTGTTTACTATTTACAACATCTTAAAGCTGTGATACAACTATAACATTACGCTGATCTCAACATAGGCATTCGCCTGTACTATGATTGCAGGTTTATTCTTCATAAGCTGAGCCTTCGTGGAATTCGGGTTGTTTGAAATGCAAGGAACACTTTAGAAAAAGAATTATAAAACTCTCACACTACAGCATTACTGAAAATAATCATTCAAAAAATTCACTTCGGATGCTTTCTTATTCAAGTTTCTCGTGAAAATATATAAAGCTTTTTATTATAAAAATTCCGTGAAATATTGGCATTTACCTTCAACAGGGAATACTGGTTAGCAAGAGAAGCAGTGAAGAGAAGCATTGCTAAGGAAGATAGAATGGCATATAATCTCAACAAACTCGACCGGCTTCGTCTTCTACCTTTCTCACAAAATTAGAAGAGATAGGTGATTTAAAAAGTTTAAATAAAAATTCAATAAAATAATAAAGTAGAGTAAAGAACTCCAGATTTTAGCAACCTAAATCCCCAATGATCAACAAAACAAGACTGGCAATAACAGAAGAAATGGCAACTATATCTGTTGTGCCGTCTTTTTTTCCTGGTAAAACAGCAAACACCACTCCTATTAACAGAAACAAAGCCTGCAGGGCACAATTTAAAATTCCAAATCTATATCAGACAAAAACAAAGAAGGCATATATTGCATTAAAATCCATGGTACCTCAATGATAAATAGCGCAGCGAGACGCGTCTTCCCCTTTGCAACAAGTTGATACCCTAGTTAACAAAACATCATCAAATTGACAAACAACAGTGAGCTATAGTTATAAAATCAAGCAAGAGAAAAGGATTAGGGTTTTGGAGAATGGAGCTTACTTGAATCAACGACCATACGGTAGGAATAATCAGAACCATCGGTTCCAGAAGGCCTTCTTTGCTGCATTTTCTTCTTAGATTGTTCCGTTTTCAGATCAAAAATAATGGTAAATTAGGGTTTTGAAACAATAATCTTCACTCGTGTTAGTTCTACTTGATTATTGCTTCTTTTTTTATTTTTTTTTATTTTAATAAAACAAAAAAAATATTCAAATTTAAATGATCAATTAAAATTATTTGAATTTTTTCATTTATAAAAATTCATTTTCAGAAATAAAAAACTAAAAAATGATTTATTTAATATATATAATGACATAGATTCATGATATATATCTAATTCATATGTGCCACATCATTATTAAAACATAAATAAAATTCATGTGAGACTAATAAAATCTCAAAACTTATATGATTAAAAAAGCTTTACCGCTCAAAGAAATAATATAAAGTGTTATTGTTATACAATTTAATCGAGTTATTCTTTTCGAGTGGTGCAAGTCTTACATTTCAAAATCATTGGCAATTATGAGTTCTATGCTATTATTAGAGTTACTCAATTGTTGTTACTTAATTTTCTCAATTATGTAGTTGATTTATCAAACATCAAGTGAATATAGTTATCCACTCATTTGTGAAGGCGGTCAATTTCTAAACTAGACTTAATCTTATTCATCTTATTCCTCCTTATATTGAACTTTTGATTCATAATTAAAAAAAAGTTAGTTTTGCTCTATTAAAAAAAATTGTATTTTACCTAACAACACTCAAATGAGATGACGAGGTCTATTCCAATTTGACCAGAGGATTTAGGTACATATACAATTTATACCAAAAACAAAAAATATTGAGTTTTAAAACAACCAATAGTTTTATAAAAATTAAAACTTTGCAATAAAAAAAATAATGTCTTCTTTGGTGCTAGTGAAAAAAAGCATAATATTATTTAAAAATAAAGTCTCACTAAGGTTAGCTAACAAGAGAGTGGTGATTTTTATAGGAGGTTTCGCAAAAGATGGGTACCACATCATTACCAACTCTTTATTTTGTTAGATAATAACACAAATATTCTCCTCTTTAAGAGTATGTAATATTTGAACTCGTTGTTCCTTAATGAGAAACTCTTTAGTGTTGTGGAGAATTGTGACATAGTGATGTCAAACATTAACCAACTCTGAGATAAATTGATAGCAAAGTTGGAGTCAGAATAATACATCAAGTGTTTGATGCCAAGTTTCTATGCCATGGCAAACTACGATATAACGTGAATGATGTTAGAATAACCAATATTACCCGCAAAACCATGAAACAGACATGAGGGGTGCTACTACTTTTCTCGTATAACCGACACTTGAATCCTAATTTGGTTGTGACAACCATTTTTTGTACTTTTAAGCATTTTATCAACATTTTCCCTTTCCTTTTGAAATAAATAAAGTTCGGTGGTGACTCTATTGTATTTCGAGATTTCCTTATGCTTAGGTATTTTTCGCGCAGCGACAAGGTTCACAGTGAGTTTCAGCAAGGGATAACGTGTTATCAATATCAAGGAGCATGAACAGTTGATAAAGGGCTCAAGATCCAGAGATATCTCCTACATGTGGAAATTTGAGTCAACCTTCGGTAAGACATTCAAGAAGGAGAAAAAGACTCGTGGTAATGAAGAGAATGACAAGTTCACTAAAGGAAGAATTTTTGATACGATGCTGGAACATCTTGCCCGACATTTAGTCTTTACTAGAGAAAGGAAGCCTATTAAAATAGTCAATCACTTGCTTAAGTGTCAAGTTAGTCTGACACAATATAACAATGACTGCTCTCGTAATAAAATTGAAATTAAGTCATCAAATGGCACTTGTGTCATTTGTGAGATTGAGAAGTTATTACTTAGGAGGCGTGTTAAAGAAAATTGTATCTCTCGTGTGATCATTACCACTCTACAAAATGGGTGTTATTTTATTCCATGGTATTTTCAAAACTCCTCTGCTATCTCTCATCTGAAAACACCAGTCTTTCTCACTTTCCCTAAGCAAAATTTCTTCTTGCTTACCATTCAAACCAAGTTGATAATAAGTCAGGAAATGGAGAACACCAAGTCTACTGAAGCAACTGTAATAACAAGATTTGAATCTATGTTTAATCTCTGAGTTTTGATGATAACAAACATATATTTTATGAAGAATGATTTTAGTTCTAATGGTTTTATTGAGTGTGCAGATACATTATTAGAATTTTGGATAGTCTTAACCAAGATATCATCAGAATCACAATATAACTCAGAAGAAGAACCATTGAGTTCTATTTCTAATGTAACATCCGTAGTTTATAGAATTATGAATGTTCGACAAGAAAAAAATCTCATTGTGGTTCCAAGAAGAAAGAGTTTCTGATAAGTCGTTGCTACAATATCAGAAATTAAGACTACACAAGAAACGAGCTTACAACGCAGAATATCAGAAGTAAAGATTCACTCATTAGGAAAGGTGAAAAGAACAGGAAAGACCTTTTAAGATTTTGAGTTCGGGGGGTAAGTTATGAAAAGGGAAGGTGTTAGCACCCTTTTCATCAGTAGTTATCTACGGGCTCTTAATTGCTTAACTCACTTTAATTTGCTTTGTGTGTACTTTGAAAATGTTTTAGAAATGTCAATGTAAGACAATCTGCTGCTTTATAATAACCATTGTATCAGTCCTCAAGAGTGTTTATAAAGAATTTTGAAGTAGTTGTTTTGAAAGTGTGAGGTATGAAAATTGTTTTAGTTTCTGAGCAAGCAATTAAGGGTATCTTACCCACTGAAAGTCTTTCATTATTCTTTTTCCTTCTCCGTTAGGGATAATGCTATCCATACCATTAGTTGGTAGGTAGCCTCATCCATTGGATGTGAAGGGACATGTATAGGGTCGTCTTTATGGTCATTGAAGGCAACATATAGGGATACCTTAAAAATTAGAAGGGACTATCATCATATATTCGTAGGCAACAATGAGGGATAAGATCATTTCTCGTAGGCAACTTCGAGTGACATCGCGGAACTATGATCTTTATGATGACTTTAACTGAGGGTCTTTGCTAATGGTATTCCTATGTTCGAGGGACATGACCATTGTTTTTTACGAAGGCAATAGAGAGAGAGGCTACCTTAGAGGTGTACGTGCGCATAGTGATTCAATTCAGTTATTTGTCTTGGTTAGGGTTTTCTATGTTTTGGTTTTAGATCTTGCCATACATGCCTAGTTATTATATATACGTACATGCATACATAAGTGCGGAAAGTAAAATGCGGGAAAATAAACCTAGGCTATTACATCCCATGAGCAGTTACATAATAGGAAAAAAACACGAGAAAATAAAATAAGTTATTACAAAATCAACCGTGCGACCTATACATTTGGTTTCTAGAATTTAAATAGCAAAGAAAAAGAAATTAGAAAAAGATATTTAAAACCTAAAAAAAATTTCTAAGTGTTAGGAAAATATTTTTTATGTTTTTATTTATGAAAAATAAGTAAAGTGATAATAATAACTAAAAGTATATTCTAATTAATTTACAAATTAATTGTGAAAAAAATAAATTTAATTTAATTAAAACAATTTTTGTTGATAAAAAATTAAATTAATTAATCAAAAACTAAATCTAATTTTTAATAATTATTTATTTATTTTTTATGGTCTTTTGATTTTAATTAAAAAAAAGTAATTAAATTAATTAAGTAAAAGCAAAAATAATTAAAAAAAAACAAGAAAATTGAAAAAGGGTTAAAAAGAAAGCTTGGGGTGGGACTTGAACACACGTCCTTGATCTCACTAGTGGTTGTCCTTGCCACAGCGCTGTTGGTGTTTGTGTGTCATAGAAACAGGAACCAATCATTATAACGAAAACATGTATATTAATTTGGAAAATTAAACAAAATAATGTTAAAAGGTTGAAATCGAACCCAAGCCTTTCATGTCTTACACATATTACCTTCACCATCTGAGCTACGTTGTTATTCTGTCATCCAAACCACAATCAAACAGAATATGATAAAATAAAAAGCTAAATTAGGGAAGCGTTGAAGCCCTAGCACCGGTCATCTTCCCCGGTGATTCAAAATACCAACTTGTTAAAACCTGTAAAACAAATGTCAAAAAGGACCCTATCCCACCTAATTCAAGGGTTGCGATTCCAGAGGGATAATTGGTTTGGTCTAAAAACGCTTGTATCGTAAGATACAAACCAAACTGAGTTTCATGCCCTAACAATGGTGTTTTTCTATTCAAGCATCAAACCTCAAAAGTAATGCGTCAAATATGCTCTAATCAGGTATATTAAGTGATCCATGTAAACGAAATTAATTGGCAATGCATAAATTTAGAGATTTGGTTGCAAAGAGTTTTACCAACCAGTGCAATTGAGATATCATGTTCTGGCGCTTGAGGGGATTGGTCATGGACTTGGATCAACTCCTTTGATTATCAGGAAATGATTGCTGGCCTTAATTTGGACTGAAAATCCTTGGAATTCGAAATCCGATTACTCACTTTTCTTGAATTTTTTGAGAATTTTTTAGTAGTATTTTTAGGCAGCAACTGCGTGTTCTATTGTAGTGTGAGAGTTGATGTATTTATAGAGAACATTTTAGGCCAACAAAAATGGACATGAATCAATTGAAATCAAACATAATTCATTCTTTCCAAAGTTGTTTTAAAAACATTCCAAACTTGAAGATTTTTGTTCCCAATATGTTTTCACGGTTTTGGAAAGCTCCTACGAGGTCTCGGGCCTTCTAGAAGATATCCAAATAAAGCCCACACGCCCTTTGGTCCATCAACTCATATTTTATTTGATTTATTTTGAATTAATTTGAATAAAATAAAAATAAAAATAAAAATAAAAAATCAAATTAATTTATAAATGGACTTAGATGTCCTCCAACATGTTACAAATATGTTTAAACCTCAAAAGTTAGGCCCATTAGTCCAAAAGTTCAAGATTGCTCAAATGAAGTTTCATGCATTTCCTCAAAAATTTCCTAACTTGCACAAACTATATCTCACTCAATTTTTATCATATGAAGATGAACTTGGACT